GCCTCCCAAAGTGCTAGGATTACAGGCATGAGCCACCATGCCTGGCCAAGTATGGATTTTCTAAATCTCATTTGTATTAGAGTCCTTCGACTGCTATAAGAAGTTACCAAAGATGTGATGGCATAAAACAACAGAAATGTAATCAACACTGTAATCACTCATAGTTCTGGAGGCCAGAAGTGCAGAATCAGTTTCGCCAGGCCAAGATCATGGAGTATTCATGGGTGGCTCCTCCAGGGGCTCTAAGAGAGTCTGTTCTTGCTTCTTCCAGCTTCTGGTGGCTGCAGCTTTCCCTGGCTATGGCCACATCGCTTTAGTTTCTGTCTCTGTGATCCCCTTGCCTACTCCTCTTCAGTCTGTGTTAAATCCATTTCTACATCCCTCTTTCAATGACACTTGTAACTGCATTTAGAGCTCACTTGGTTAATGCAGGATAATCTCTTCATTTGAAGACCCTTCATTTATATGGGCAAAGACATTTTTCCTATATAGGGTACATTTATAAGCTCCATAGAATAGAACCTGAGGATTATACTCAATATTAAACCCTCAGTATTGGTCCTGTACACACATCACAAGCGCAGGCTCTCTCTCCCTGCCCTCAGCCTTTTCTCCCCCTCTTTCCCATGATTATAAATCACTTTGCTTCTTTAAGTGAATCCAGTACCACCTATGTCCAAGTTCAGAGTTCAGAGGAACACACACAGAATGGCCTTGCTCAGGGTTTGCTTAGAGACCTGTTCTGCCCCCCATTATCATGCAGAAGGAAGGACACAGCCATAGGCAGCCCTCAGCCATCTAAGAGAAGCTGTCTCTACAGAAGACAGTCATGGGCTAAGACCCTCCAGACCTGTGATTGTCTTCAGGGGCCTGTGGTCCTAAGCCCTCCCAGAGGGTATTGGTGGCCCCTGACTCCAGAAGGATCTACCAGGATCCTTATCTGAATATCTCACTCACAGAAGGCATAAATAAATGATACATGTAAACCTTATTTGTTAAATATATATAACATTTTAGATATAAATTATAGTGCTATATCTGTATCTGCTATGCATCTATATTATAAATCCAAATAATATGTAGACTTACATAGAAATTCACATAATATTTTGGTATAAGTTATGATATAAATTTGATAAAGTGAGCATGAACATTTTACAGCAGCAATGGCACACCTGTAGTGGAGAAGGGGCCTTGGAGCAGTTCCTTGATAAATGCTCTGCACTCTTGGTTTCCCAAGGCTGTGGTTAAAGGTCTGAGTTCCAAGTTCTTTCTTCCTACCCTCACTACAGAGCCTGGGACCAAAATGCTCAGAACCTGTTCACCCCATATCTCTACTGGTCTGTGCAGTGACCTCCACCCATTGCTGAGGATGCTGAGGGACCTCAGGTAGGTTCTAGGAATAAAATAACAGGTGTCTAGGAGATGGGCAGTGAATCTGATCCCCAGTGTACAGAAGGTTTGTCCCAGGGCTCATTGTAAGCAGGTCCGACCCTGGGGGCTTCTGTAGGACAGAACAGCTAGCTAGGTGGTCTCAGGACAAAACACCTCCACAGCCTACTGGCAGCTTCCTCTTTGACTGGAGCCAGGTGGGATGTCTCTGCCCAGCCTTCATAGCTCACGCAGCTGCTGGGACCCTATATACAAGGGGAGGCCATAAAGGCAGCTTGGCTGCTGATGACCAGAGTGACTTCTGTCCAAGCCCATCACCCAATGCTGGCAGGCGCCATGTCCAAGGGGCAGTGGGAGCCAGAAGGGGATCATAGCTAGACTTTATTTCTGATTGAGCCAGGCTAGGACGCTGTTAATATTCTTGTTACCCTCCAAGTGACAGTGACCCTCTCTCCTAGGACACAGGAAGAGGCACTGGAGACGGAGTGTACACAATGTCCTCACTGGGATCTAAGTGGAAACAAATGTGAACATCCCTAGATAATAATGCACAAGCCAGTAGTTTCTACAGTTTGATTAAATTCTAATCAGAAAGTGAAACAGGCTGACAGCTGCAAGGAAAACACTTCTGTTTAATGTAAACAAACTAAGGCTGAAGCCAGAGCCTCCCCTTTCTCACCAGAGAATCAGATGGCAGCAGAAAGAGAACCCCTGCAGCAGGAAGAAATGTACCCCCATGTCTATCAGGTGCCTCCGGAGGCTGATCCTGCTCAAAGGGTGAGAGTGGATGACACGTCTCGCACTGCTACACCGAAGGACCCTACGCTGGGTGGCTTAAACCACAGACATTTATTTTCATATTTCTGGTGGCTGGAAACTCCAATATCAAGGTCCAGCAGGGCTCATTTTCTGGTGAGAAGCTTCCTGGCTTGCAGATGCCACCTTCTCACTATGCTTTCACATGACCTTTCCATAGAAGAAAGAGACGTTAGAGAGAGAGGAAAAAGGAGAGCTCTCTGGATCTGTTGAGACCTCTATCCTATAAGATCAGAGACCACCCTTATGACCTCAATGACGTCTTTATAAGCCCTATCTCCTATAGAAGCTTTGAGGATTAAGGCTTCAGCATGAATTTGAGAACACAATTCAGTTCGTAGCATGGGGGACACAGGCCGAGAGAAGTTTAATTGACCAATAGCTGACCCCTCCTGCATTCTCTTCATGCTCCCATTCCTGCTGTCTGCCCATCTTAAATTCCTAAGTTTGGTAAAAAAAAAAAAACTTCATATTATTCTGTATGTCCTAGTGGTCTAGGGGGAAAATTCTATGCTGTACATCTTTAGGTATATGCTTATTATTTTTAAAATCAACATTTGGAATTTCAATAACTCACTTTTTCTATTAGCAAGAGAAAATGAGTCTAATGAAAGAATTTCAGCATTAGCATCTTGCACCTTCTATGAAATTACAAAATTTATCTGACAATCATAAACCAAGATTTTTACTAATTGTTCTTAGCCAATACTCCCTTAGGATAACTAAGGTAAAATACTGTCTCTATTATATTCATATTGTGGAAGATAAGTAAGAAATAGAAGTAAGAATTTAGAAAAGTGGGAAAATACCAATGTTGAATTTTACTAAACATCCTCTTAAAAATATACAAAATACTGTTAATCCCCCAGATGTATTCATGTATTGCCAGATATGTGTCAATTTCCTATTTTGCTGATAAAAGTTAACAAATGCAGGCAAGGGGAGAGGATTATGGTAAGATTTTCAATAATCTCTCCTCTCCATTATGTTTGTTTACTCAGAGGTCACTTGGACCTCCTCATTACCCTGCTGCTTATACCAATCAAGGCTGTTTGAGCTGACAGGGACATAAACAGGCTATCCTCAAGGTGTAGCTGAAGTGCTCATGATCCAGAAACCCTGGGTGCAAACTATTCCCTAGCCCTCCAGCATCTTTCTCTTACACAGATTCAGAGAACCTGCTGAGCTGCTGCCCAGACAAGCAGCACGTGTGGGCAGCTGGGCCACCCCAGCAGGGAGGTTTCTGTTCGGGGTTGTATCACTGTGGGAGGAGCTTGTGTACTTTGCATGCAATAATAAACCCCAATATCCTCAGCCTCCACTCTGCTGATTTTCAGTGTGAAATCTGTCCCTGAGCCACTGCCACTGAACCTGTCTGGGACTCCAGAGGCCCGGTTGGAAACTAAATAGATCAGGAGCTGTGGAGACTGGCCTGGCTTCTGCAGGTACCACTCCAAATAGGTGTATCCATTAGTATGCAGGAGACTCTGACTAGACCTGCAGGAGATGGAGGCCGGCTCTCCAGGGGTAACAGGCAGGGAGAGTGGAGTCTGGGTCATCACAATATCCCCACTGGATCCTGAAATAATAAGAAAAAAAGATTAAGGTTATATATAAACTTTATGTATCATTTTTATAATTTTCATTAGTTGTTTATTTCAGGCTATATATTTTTTTAAATTTTGTTTTATATTCCAATAATATCCCATTTCAAAATGGAACTTAAAGGATACAGTGCTCAAGGGGGTCTCCAGAAGTGCCCACACCATCCTCTCTTTCTGTACAAAGTCTTCCCGAGAGCACATGTCTTTGGTCCTTCTGGAACCTTCCTCTCTCTCACACATTCTCCATCTGGGAGGACAAGACCTGCACATCTAACACATGGAAAGAACATACATGGAAGGCCATGTGCCCCCAGAGCTCACCCTCCCATCCCATTCTTCTTTCTCATCTCCTTCTGTCCTTACCAGGGAGCCAGAGCATTAGCAGCCCCAGTAGCTGAGCAGGGAATCTCATTGTGAGCTGGTGAACAGAGAAGTCCTGAACAGTCATGGCAAAGATAGAGCTGAGCTTTTATCTTGGACTCACAAGAGAAGGTCCTCCCTAGGGGGCAATATGCAAATCTCCTGGTGGGTGCAGCAGGGTGGAAAGAGCCAAGTGGAGGGTGGGAGCCACTCTTGTGAAGAAAATGACTTAAATATCTTCTCTGTTTGAAGGGAAACCAACAGACATAAATCTATGTTGCCTATGTGGGAGAAATTTAAGCGTTTCCTTCTGTCTTCTCTGTAAGATTTCTTGTTTCTTAGCACTTTCTCAGGTACGTTTTACACTTCTCTTTCATAAGGCTGAGTTTTCATAAATATTTGCTGATTCTTACTTTTTTATTTATAGTTGTTTAAGAGTTGAGATTTGGCCTTTGTATTTATTTTTTTAATCGAGATAAACACACACAGAGTAAAGGACAGAAATGTTAAATGGGCAGCCAAAGTTTTACATATATTCCCCTCCCAGATAAAATTGTAGATTATTTCAAAATCTCCAGATTCTTTTCTCATGTACCTTCCCAGGCAATAGCTGCTCCCCCAATTCCAACCAAGGTAATTGGCATTGTGACATCCACCACAACAGTTTAATTTTCCCTGGACTAAACCTCAAAAATTGAAGTAAAGACTTTTCTTGCATTGTGTCTGGCTTCTCTCTTCTTTCTTTACTATTTTTGGGGATTTCCTTCCTTCCCGTGGATTCAAGTTACTGTCTGCCATCATTTCCTGGGATTCTGAAACATTTCTTCTTGAATTTCTTATAGAGCATGTCTGCAAGTAATATTTCATCTTTGTTTATCAGGATACGCTTTTACTTTACCTTTATTTTTGAAGCATACTTTCCCTGGATATTGAATCCTTGGTTGAATTTTGTTGTTTTTTTTTTTTTTT